GGCCCTTTAAATATGATTTAGTGGCCCATGATTGGTCCATTACAATTTATTGGAACATTAAATTAATACATTTTATATGCGAATCGACATTAATTTGGTAATTTCATTTTGAATTAATAATTATTATGAACATTGGACACTGATGGCATTATTAATATTATTCTTTGCTAGATCCCTAGATATTCGAGCTTATATTTTATTTTTGCTGATAAGATTATAAGGCTGCTATATTGTTCTATCTTGCAGCCATTCGGTGTTTTTACTCCTTCGACGCTTGTAAAAAATAATATAAAGTAGAAACTAATAATAAACTCTTTCGAACAGTTTGAGTTTTTAACTCCGTGGTAGGTACCTATGACAGCAAATAAAAATATTGGTATTGTATTTACGCTAACCTAGTTCGATATTTTGTTTATTTATCTACAAGAGTGTATACTTACTACTAGATATTTTATAAGGCCGCGGGCCGAATATATAGTAGTCGATTTTATCTTGAATCTCATAAAATAACTTTTTAATAAATTCTTATTTGTATTAAAATAGAAATTGTGTACTTTTCCAATGACAATATGTCAATTTGAATTCAATAATACGTATATGAATTGTGTTACTGCTTTTAGACAATATTCGGTTTTACACAATATCCGTCATCTTTATATTTGTTATTCATTTTTATTCGTAAGTAGGTACCCTTTATAATCCATAATAAAAATTAAATTTTATTTTATTAAACGTTCTTTATTGCAATACATTTAAAAAATAATCAAACTAACAATATTTTTTTAATTTTTAATATATTTTAATACCTACAGAAAAATATGGAATGGAATATTTTTTTTCTTTAATTTTTACAAATGAGTTTCTAACACAGACATTAATATGATACCTCGACAATTATTATAAACATATTACATAATATTATATCATTGGTAATTAGACGAAATGGAAGATATAAACCAAGTAATGTCATCGGTACCTACCTGACTACCTATAATCATAATTTAATCAAACATATTTATAAAAATATTAAAAAATTATTAAATTGCATTAAATTATTAAAATATTTATGCAAACATCAGTTCGGTTTTCTAATAAATTACAATACCATTTAAAATAGTTGATGTCTAAATGTCATATCAAAAACGAAAATGAGATGATTCACTTTGTATTTTTAGAAAATTATATAAGTTATATTAGGAAGATGCACACGTGAACATTTTCGTGTATACTTTAGTTTTATTAATAGAATAATACAATACTGAATACGAGCAAAATGTCCCTTATCACTGAACAAAACTGTAAATGAATGAGGCTTATTACATCCAAACAATGTAAAATGTAAATAAATTATAAAGGTTAGGAACCAACCTACATTATACCGACACACTTAGATATTGAGTTGTTTTTATAATATACCGCAGACCTCAATAAGTATATTGCACATTAAAAACTATCAAAATAATTGTTTTTGCAAACATTAACTACATTAATTTTTATAACAGAAACTCAATTATAATATTAGACATTTGGCTAACTGTATACCTACACGTATAATATATATTTTTCTCTCTATAACATAATATTCAATAAATGTATTAAAAGAAAACCCTAAAATAGTATCGAATTGCGTGACTTGCAAACCAAATAGTTTCATTGTCCCAATGTCATGAAAAACAGAATTGGTTTGAAATTTAATAATATTGATTTTAAAAACTCTATGAATAGCCATAAAGTAGAATAAAGTAAAGAAAAAAATAACAGCTTACTATTTTTATATATAACACACGAAATTTATTATTCAGCAAACTAAATAGTAAATATTTGCTTATATTTAATTGAATTTGAGACTGAATAGTTACACGACTATACGAGACATTCAAATTCAGAGTAGGTATTAAAAAAATTGTTTCTAGTTCTAAATGCTAATCATAGATAAATGCAACACAGGCACGCTACGCCGAAAACAAATAGTTCCTATCACTACGTGTGCTCGCCAGACTTGGTAGAAAATTAGAAAAAGCGATACCTAAATACATATAGCCCATATAGGTATAGGTGTGAATGTGAATGATGATAGAATTGAGACGCACTTTCGTTATGACTTTAGGGTGGAAAGGAATCTCGGCTGGCAATGATTTCTAGATTTATTTAGAATTAACAATTTGTATTGTTTTGAACTTTTGACCACGAAGACTAGAATAAAGAGACCAAATTCCATTTCTGAGAACGTCCCGAAATAAATTACACGATTAAAAGGCCACGGGCTTGCGATGCGTACGCTAGAGCTACAACTTTAACCCGTGTAGTATAGGGAATATCAATGATTTTTTGCGTTTTTAGGAAAACATATTATACAATATTTTGAACCATGACCTTTTCAGATTTTATAGCTTGCGCGATTACAAATTTATAGATGTAAATATTATGTGTAGGTACTCATATTTCATAAACATTCAATATTCTTAAGACGCTAATTTGAGTTGAACAATACATACCGCCATATCGGTATAAAATAAAACACATGTGTATGGTATATTCGGCTCAGACTGACTGTGAACACAGACATATAGATATAGATATAAAATACCTACTAAGGTATTTTTGTATTTTTGTTTACTTTATATAGCACCTATATCTTATGTTTTTCATGCGATCTAGACATCTTTCTCATGTTTATATCTATAATCAATTATGTTTAATGTATTTTTATGTTTTTTTTTTATTTCATTTGTATTGAATTGCTGTTTTAGAAATTCTATTATACAATCTAAGTTTATCCACATATGCACTACTTTAACTCTCAACCTCCAACACAAGCCTTATGCTTACAGGTGGTTGATAAAAAAAATTAAAAATAGAAAGAAAATAACTTGACATAGTGTTAGCCTTAGCGGATTGCATAAATTAATTGTGTACACAATAATAAAAAAAATATTCATGAAAAATACACATAATATGCTTCACATTTCACATTTATTATATTAATGCGTAACCGTTCGGGCTATACAATCTAAAAAGGGTTATGGTTCAAAATAATGTATATTATTTTCCAAGAAACGAAAAAAACATAAATATTCCCAAAGGTGCGCGGGTAAAGTAACAACTCTAGCGTACACAGCGTAGCCAGTGGCCATTTCATCGTACTACTTGACACGGCTACGGCGGTGCTGGTTGGCGCGGTAGGCCGGCAGCTGTGTTGAGTGTGAGGACAAGTGGCAGCCGGCAGGTGAATGGTGATGCGCCGACGAACACGCTCAAGCGGTATGTATCGTAAAATGAAAAGTATCGTTTTATGTTGAGTCAAAAACAAGAATAAATGTGGTCACTCGGCGAAGCAATAGTCGACTAAAAATCACAATGATTGATAAGGCGTTTACCTACTATACCTACATAATATTATTTTATCGTGTCGGACGGGTTGCGGTCGGAATACACGGCGATGGTGTGGTTGGGCCGACTTATCTTTCACAGTTTCACGTCCTTGTGCCCTGGCGGCTTGAGAGTCAACAGTATCGGTTTGACACAACCTGTGGAGTCGATGGTGGTTGGTAAAAACTAAAAGCGTAGACCGGTCGCTGCGGCGCCTGTACTTCGTGCTGCAGGTTGCCGTTGTGCACCGTGCCAGACTCTTTGCGGTACGACTGTACGAGTTTGTTCTCTTGTTTTAATCTTAACGGTTTTCATGACTGATAAATCGAAGTGATAATGATTAATAATATAATGATATGGACTGCTCGTGGCACCTGGGTATCATAAAATTGCGATCATAACTACTATAAATGGACAATTAATCATTTATTAAAAAACGATATGATATAAAATCAGCATAAACATACTAGGTACCTACCTAATTAGTTAATGTACAACGCCTCCCACACACCACGTATATCGTATATGTAACTCTGTAAGTAGTACCCATGACCTACCTACGTATCTCTATGTTCGCACAGTTCGTTTTTCTACAGAAAAAATGTTTAGTATAAGCCGAAATGGTACGCTAGGACGACACAGATTTACCGTATCACACATTACGGTGATTACGCACTCATTGTCCACCTAATTGCCACTAGCACAAATATAATATAATATTAACCGTGTAGGTGCACATCAAATTTTTTTTTCATCATACCTTACTATAGACATGGAAATATAGTATAAATGTATTTGTTCATAAGGTTTGAAGAAAAAAAAATGTTGATGTGTATCACTGTAAATATTTTTGTGTGAGAGACAAATAGGTGGACAATGAGTGAGTAATCGCCGCAATGTGCGATACAGTAAATCTGTGTCATCATAGAGAAACATTCCCGCTTGAAACAAAAATTTTACCGTGGAAAAACAAAATTTTGAAAATACAAATACACACTACTGCGGTGAACCTTAGCGGCAAACTACTATATAGACTATGGTTGCTATTATATTTCAAAAAATATCCCACACGAAACGCTCAGTAATTTTTATGATAATGCAATTATTATGCGATGGGCCTATTTATTTCGTAGAGTTGTGCGACCACCACAGATATATACTAATTACTAGATGCCCGACTAAATATACCACTGCGTATTGGTGTTTGAAGCCAAATAGGTTGGGCAATGTTTACTATCTGTTATCAATATAATTATTATGATAACATAATAATATTATTATTATAAAAAATGTACCTACTACCAAACACTAATGAGTACTTTAAACTATTTGCTCCTACGAGTACTGGTAAGTAGTAGTACTACCATGTGATTTAATAATACAAATTTTAAATTATTATAAATATTATAATTTTGTCTGTTATCACTAACATTGATAACATCGGCTTGTAAACAATGCCCAATATGCATTATGACTGTAGAATTATGTTGGCTTCAAGTATGGGAACCGTGTCGGGCAATTAATAATTATTATATATCTGCGACCACTGACCAGTACATCAACAACCTAGATGGTGAGATAAAGAAATGGTATCACCTTATCGTCTGTATATCGTGGTATGTTTATGTATCTGTGTGTATATCTTGGAATAATCCACCTTGGAATACAGTTTAAGAAAATCTTAAAAGAAAAAATGAGATATCATGGAATAGTAAGCACATTTTTGTGTACTTGTCCTTGACCCCGGAGATTATAAAATAAATTTATTCGACAACTACGTCACGTCTACACGTCTTCTTAGATGATAAATGATTTGTTCTTCTTTGATATCATATTTATGCTTTATCTGCTTGGTTGGATTCAGAAATTGTACCTGTCTTTCTACTAGCAGACAATAACAGTCCATTTCTGTATAAGTGAAAAGTCTTATACACGCTCATAGATTTTTATTTATTTAACATATATTGTTACCTCGTCTAGTGTTTTGTTTAAGTATAATTGTTTAAAATATTTCATTGAAAATAAATTTAAAATAATTTTCTTTTGGTGTTAGCATTAACTACATATTGTTATTGATAGGTAACAAATTAGTAATTACGTCAATGATGACGGAAGTGTTTACACATAATTATGGACATTTTGATTTACTGCCGAATGAAATGGTAATAAATATATTAATCTCCATCGACGTGAACACTCTTTTCGATTGTAGACTTGTGTGCAAGAGATGGCAGAAACTTATAGACACTTATGTATTTCAAGAAAAAGCTTTTCGAGAAAATAAGTTTGTGAATAATGGTCAAGGATACTACAGTTTCTCACAAATCAGTGCCAACGATGTTAGAAGACTAGATTTACCGTGGTACGTGTTCTATATTATATGCAAATACGATCCCTTCAATCGAAATTTAGTGAAAAATCACTGTGGACAATGTAAGTAAATAAAAAATTTATTATGAATCGGGTTTAACATTATCTCTGATCAGAATTAAAAATAATTCATACAATTTCATGATGATTTTTATATTAACTACAGATGGATGGAAGTATTGGGAAAGTAATAATGATAGTTTTTCAAGCCAAAATGATCTTAATTGTTTTTGGACGGTTGAACAAATACCTCAAAGTGCACATTTAATGCTGGACGATTCAAATTTTGATGGGCATACAAGCTGTTTTTCATCCTATGAAAAACGTAGTCTTACAAAGGATCAAGAAATTGTATTCAAAGATCATGGTTTGAATGATAATATAATGAAGACTCTTCAACCTCAAATTGCAGTTAGTGCATGGTAAGTACCTACTAATATTTAAATATAATATATTTTCTTTTTTTATCAAATAATAAAACAAAATGTGTTGCAGGTATAGATGTGCAAATCATGCGGCCGGCAAATATACGTTACGAGTATATCTTAATAATGCGTCCAAACATCTTTTACAAGCACATATTATTTCTAAAAAGATGTCAGAAGACAGAATCAGTCTATGGAATAAAGTTTGTATATTAATCCTAATATTAAAAAAAATATTTCAAAATATTTCAACAAAATTATTATTAAATATTGTTTTTTAGGTTTCATATATGTTTCAAACTGAGGGCAATGAGTCTTACTTAACTATATCTCATTACATGGAAAACAGACCACAATTCCCATTGCTATTATATGTTATTGATGGTTTTAAAGTATCCGGCTCTGTAATAAAAATTTTGCTACCATCAAAATTTAAATCTAAATGAGAGATTCATATTTGATGAAACATTACAATATTTATATTAACAGTAGGTACTCAAAAATTAGATAAACATACCCAGAAATATAATTTTGTAACAATAATGTTTTTTTCTATACCTATGTATTAATTAATGTTAATTATATTTAAATACTTAATGATATAAATTGGACAGTAAGATAAATTAATATTTTATTAAATAAAAAAATAATAAGTAACTGTAGATCTAAGGCTTATTTTTATTACTTTATTAATATTTACTTATAAATACTTGAAGTTAAGTTCATTTATTCGTGGTTTCAAACATATCATATTCATTGTAATATTGTATGGATAACATATTTTACAATATAAATATATAACATAATTTAAATACTGTCAAATTAGTAGATGTAGGTTTAAAATGTTTACAGAAGTAATTATAGTTTGAAAAATTATATAAACTGTAAACCATTACAAATTTAAAAAATGTTATAATATTTTATATAATTGTTCAATAAATTGAGCGATGAATTAATTGGTGTTACAATGATGATTTTTATTGTGTGTCTGCCATCGACCTGGAGCAGTGAAAATGCTTCATTCTACATCTTTAACTTTCAGAGCATTTTCAGGTAAAATACCAGACTTTAAGAGAAATTTAATACATTCTACTATTGCTTAAATCGTAATGTTCAATACAAAATAAAATTTTCCAAATATTCAAACTAATATGTATCTCCTACTTTTAAAATCAAGCTATTTATTAGTATTTGAAATTTTAGATTTTTTTCTCTGAATGTTAATTTTTATGCTTGGCAAAAAACTTGACAATTATATACAATTTAAACAGATAATTATTGTTATAAATTTAAATCATTTTTAATTAGTGTAACTAAAGCTTATACATTTAATACAAGAATCCTTGTAAGTTCTATCAAAAATATAAAAATCTCAAATGTTATTAAAGTTTTACCCAAAAAATATTGATTTTATATAATATGTTTTTGTACGTAATTCAAAAATATAATTCATACTTTGGGTATTTGAAACTTATTGTCATTACACATATGTACCTATTATTATTTACTATACACAATGAAATGTTCTAAATATTAAAATTAATTTTAAGCTATTTATGAGACAAGTCTATTCACACTGTTTTAGGGTACATTTGTATAAACTTATTTGCTGATAATAATTATTGTAATATTTATGAAATAATTATTGATAATTATTATAAAATTTAAGTGTGATATTAGTTGTTGGTAAAAATTAGTTCAACCTGCCATAGGTATTACTTATAGAAAAATAAATTACTAATAGTAATATAAATAATATCAATAGAAATATGACTATCACTTTATCGATCTCTACTCAGAAAAGTTTTTGGTATGCAAAAAATGTTTTGTCAAAGTATCCCATGCACATTTGTATACTAGTTAGTCATTAGTTATTAATCTGCATAATACATAGTTAGTTATTACTTATTATATTTTTATTCATTCATAGAATGACAACTTAATTGAATAATATTTAATATTATAATATTTGCAGGTAATTAATAATATTTTAACAATTAATTGTATGCATTATTACATATGTATTTTATAAAACTAATCATAGTATTTTTTAATATTTATTAAAGTTTTGTCCATCATCAAATTAGGTACCCACGCGACAAATGGCAGGAAATGTATATATTTGTAAATGTTTATGCTGAATACTTAAATGTATGATGTTTGTTGTGTTAATTATTGCTATACATAAATATCTAGGTAACTACATAAAGGATATATATAGTTATGTATTCCAAGATTGTAAATTATAACTTATAATACATAATAATACTATTAACCAGGTTAAGTGTTTAATATTATTTTGATTTCTATATTGATCTACAGCAAGGACTATTAGTTACCTATTGGTTATAACATATTTATAATATATAAGATCTAATAATATATATTGATATTTGATTACATAGGTACCGTTATTATTAGAATTATTCTAATTGCTTACTAAAATTGAATTATGTAGGCGTTATTTTATTTTATTTGTTGGGTCAAAAAGCTTGAAAATTTAATACAAAGTTTCTAATATACTGTTATACTGGCAGTTGTAAAATATTAAAAATACAGTCACAATTTTTTTTTTTGAAGGCATTTAAAGTTCAAATTTTGACAAAATTTACAAATTATTTTGTAATTAAAAATGTTAAAAATGTTCAACTTTTATAGCTAAGCATTGAAAATTTAAAAAAAGATTCTATTTAAGTAGATGATTCTGTAACCAAAAATATAAATGTAAGTTATTTTGTTGTAATTTATAAATATTTGTGGGTACCTACTTGAAACTTCTAAAGTTTATTATTATATACAAATATGATAATATGCAAATAATAACGTATCGGCTGGCAGCGACTCAGTAGTAATAACATCAATATTAATAAAATATAAAATACCCTAGGATGACCAACCGTCTCCGCTCTTAATGGTTTTTTGTGTTCAGTGCTATATCATTATATCCATTTGTATCATACTAGCAAAGCGACATCCACTGACCCCTTCCCCACTTTTTCCAATTTATATTATTACAGTTGACCTTAATAGATTCCAGTTGCTACAAATAATTCTAAATGTTCAAGTATTTTTTTAGCAGAAGAAATAAAATCAATTCGTATGGAAAAGTTTGGAAAAAACAAATGTTTTAAAATGTTAATTACCTAATGAATTATAATATGTGTAGATAATTAATTACATTCCAACTATTAATTTGGTACTTATAATATTAAGTATAACTAGTTGTAGACCATTAGGTAAACAAATATATAAAAATATGTAGGATTTTGTCATTGATTAAAGTATTCAAGTATATAAGTTAATAGCAATACATTTATTTAGAACTGTAAGACAAAAGTAGGGTTAATGTAAGTAATTAAATTATTATGTTATATTGTTATTTGTTATTTGCTATCTTTAAAAAAGGCATAATTTTTTAATTTAATATTAAAAGAGTAACCAGTTTTTTATTAAGTTTAGTTACTTTATTTTCTGATTTTCCTGAGTGCTACCTTACTGCTTCGACTTTCAACTTTCAATGACCATAAATTAACCGATTACAGATCAGATTTAAAGAATACAATTAACTTAGAGGTAGGACTACCTTCACCATTCTAACCTTATGTAATTCTCCGATGACCATATATTAACCAGTTAGGTACCTACAGATCAGATTCAAGAAGTGCAGTAGAATTGTGTAGCTACTCAAACAAAACATATAAATTTATTGGTCGAAAACACTTTTATTCGATCATAAATCAATCACCAAAAGAAACACACTTAGCTCGTACTACGACCGTCGCTTCTTGCGTATAATCGTCGTATCTACTTTTCCGTCTTATTTCTCGATGACAACATGACTGTGCGTGTTGGCGTGTGGCGGTGTTGTAGTACACTTTATGTCACATCTTGCCCCATCTGACCTATCCTAATTTCTTAGTTGCTGATTGTAATTAATTATACTGATTGTTGTTTATGAAAAAAAATATTAAACTAATTCTATCTCCATTTTTATTTTTTAAATACTGTTATATCTACCTTTATAATAAGTACTTAACAGGCAATACAATATATTCTTGTACAACTCCTAATCGATGTTTTAACTTGTTTGAAGCGTGTACTAACAATATATTGATGTTTACTAATTTTTCGAATGTATAATTTAAAAATAGAATATTGCTTTTACAAATGAAATATCGCAATAAAATAATAAATATTTAAAACATGCAGTTTTTTATTTAGCTTTATTAGCTTTATTACATAATAAAATGTATTGGCGTTCGGTTTATAGAGTGTTTTTAATCTTTTCACAAACATTATACGTTCCCAAAACTTTCTATAGCCCTAGTAATAAAATTATGGTATCAAATGTATAGCTACGTAGTCGGGGTTATACGATTGTGATGGACGATAACATAGAACATAATATTATTTTTATCACTATTGAAATATTATTGACAATTATATTAGTTTTAACTGTTGTCTGTAATGTTATCAAATTATTATTTATTTAATAATAGATCAGCAAATTTATGGACAAACAGAATTATGGAGCCATGTATGTCTTCCATAATGGAACAACCATGTTATATTAAAAGAGTTAGGTGCATATAATTTATTGGAATATATTACAATTTATAAACTTTTGCACAAATTTATAAATGAATAAATTATGAAAAAGCAAATTTGAATATTATGATTGTACTTAAAACTAGGTAACATAGGTATAAGGTATTATAATATTTTGATTTTTAAACTATCCATTTTTTTTTTTTTGTTTAAATGGTAATAATTGGTATACAATACTTTATTGAAATTGAACATTTTAACTTTAGACAAATTTTTATTCGTGGAGGTTACGTGGTTTGAAATTTAAAAAAAAGTAATAGTATAAATCCAACTCGAATTTTTAGTGCATTTTTAAGTGTTGACATTTTAACCTAAGTAAAATTATATTACGTGACTATATATGCCTACTATAATTCCAAATAAAAAAAACTGAGATAATTAAACATGAATTAATAATTAAAAGTTAAAAATTATAGGTATAATTTTGTTTGCGGATGACGATCAACATACCTGTAATGGGAAATTATAAAAAATAACAAGTTAAGCAGGTGTTTATAGTAAAGGCTTATATTGATTATTGAATTACGTGGGACAAAACAAATATATAAGTGTACGTAATAGACCAATACTACTTAACGAGCCCTATAAATTAATTTAATTATCATAGTATTATATTATAGAAACAAAATTAATTTTTCTGAAAAATTACATATTAAATACCATTTTAACCCTTGTGTACGACCTCCTCATAATATTTATATTAACATTGTACATACCTATATATTATGATATAAGTATATAATATATTAATATATTATATTATTATGTATTTGTATAATTTATATCATAATATATACAGTACATCTATATAGTACAATGCACATTTTACTGCTGTGAAAATTCAATTGTTGTTGGTTACGTAAATTATATCATTTTCCTGTTATTGCTTTAGTTAAATTAATTTGAATTTTTATTGATAAGCTTAA